CAACTAACCAAATAGTTGACTATTGTTATTATACCTCTCTCTCTATATGCTTAGATTTTGCATAGATGGTGATTAAGGATTTGATCAAGTTTATAATGTTTTTCATCATCAATCAGGTCAGAGGGTGGTGGCAGTAGTCAATCTTGATTAAAAAAGGCAGGTGCAATGAATAGGGTAAGGAGGGATTTATTGAAGACATTGTGAATCTTTCAGTTGATCAGCAGTCAGAGTTTGTACACAGAACTACTGACTTTGGCCAGAATAGTGAATGGGCCAGTGCATTTATCTGTCAGTTTCTGTTTAGGTTGAGGAAGGTGAAGATTGAAGGTATCCAACCAGACTTTATTGTTAATGTTATAGATGCATATAGAACTACAGTGTTTATCATATTGTTTCTTCCTGAAGGTCACCACTTTTTCTAAGGCAGCCTGTGTCTCAGGATAGATCTTGGACATTTCTCATGTGAAGTTATGAGAGGCAGATGTCATAGTATGAACATGTTCAGTTTGAGAAATGTTAGGATAATGGTCATGGTTAACAAAGAAGAGGGTCTTCCCTGTGGCAGAGTGGATACAATTATTATGTTGAAAAGCAGCTAAGACTAGCCATTCTACTCAATCATCCTGTCAATAGTTAATAAAGAGCCAAAGATATTTTTCAATCTCTTGATTAACATGTTCTGTTTGTCTGTCTATCTGGAGATGATAGACTATAGAGGCATTCTATTTGATGCTGAGTAGCCAGTATAGGTTGTCAAGGAATTTTGATATGAATTGTAGCCCCTGATTGGAGATCACAATCTGTGGCATGCCATACTTAGCATATACTTTGTCATATAAGATTTTTGCTCATCCTTCTGACATCAATTCAGTCAAGCATGTGATTGGAATGATTGCCTTTGAGAATCAGTTCACTATGATAATCATTGCATCATAGCTATTGCAGTTAGATAATCTAGTGATTATATCCACTAAGATGTGGATCCATGGTGTTTGTGGGACCTCATTTGAGTGGAGTGGTGCCATCCACAGCTGTATAGAGAACTTGTTTCATTGGCAGATCTTGCACTCCTTTATATACTGCTCTATGTTTTAGCCTATCTTTGGCCACCAATATTCCCACAGTATCAGCTCCTTGGTTTTAGCAATACCTGGGTGTCCAGCAGTCACATGATCATAGTATGTGATGAGGATTTCACTGTGAAGTCTCTGGTCCCATAGAATATAGATCTGCTCATCATAGCAGATTAATCCTCCCTTCTTGATCATTTCTTGCTCATGATTTAATGATAGAGTCACATGTTGGTCTTATTTACTGTTGTCTCTCATGGCACTTTTGATTTACTCATGAATCTCTTCTTCCATAGACATTATCATTGCCCTGAAGTGTTTGGGTTTCAACAGTATTACTCTCTCATTATCTTCTCCTCCTTGATTATGGTCTGCCTGTCAGCTGAGTAGATCTGCTTTTTTATTGGTGACCCTAGCTTTATGATACAGGGTGTACTCATATTGAGATAGTTTGGTTACCCAGTGGGCTTGTTGTTGGTTCAGTTTCTAGAGCTGTTGGAAGTACTGAAGGTTCTAATGATCTGTCCATACTTCAAAAGTCTGAATGGCTCTAATCAAGTAGTGGCACCACTCTTTCAATATGAGCATTATGGCAAGGAGTCCCTTATTATAGATTTTATAGTTTTATTTGATAACAGTGAGCACCTTTAAAAGGAAGGCTACCAGACACCACTTCTCTTTTTGCTTCTGAGAGAGTATAGCATCTATTGCTCCTTTGCTTGAGTTAGCTTCCATCTGGAACTTCCCATTCTGTGTGGGGATGACAAGGACAACATCTTCTGCAAGTTGTTATTTTAGGTCTCAAATGCTTGTTGTTGAGAATATCTCCAGTTCCATAGGGCATTCCCTGTTAATTGCATCATTGGTCAGACTATTTTGCTGTAGTCCTGAATGAATCACCAATAGAAATTGGTGAATCTCAAGAAGAACTGAAGTTCCTTCTTGGTTGGCATTGGCTATTCAGTTACTCTGGCAACCTTAATGGGATTCATCTATATGCTTTCTTCACTGATTATCACCTCCAAGTACTCTGTTTCCAGTACCTAGAATTCACATTTCTCCACTTTGAGGAAGAGTTTATGCTTTCCCATGAGTTTGAGTACTTGTTACACTAATTTTCAGTATTCTATTCAATCTTTGGACATAATGAGAATGTCATCCAGGTAAATTGTGACCTTTCCAGTGGTGGTGAGATCTTTGAAAATGTTGTTCATTATCTATTGAAAGATAGCAGGGGAATTAGTGAGTTCAAAGAACATTACTGTGGGTTTAAATAGTCTCCTGTTTGTTTGAAACACCATCTTCCATTCATCACCCTCTTTGATCTATATGTTATTATACCCCTATCTAACATTGAGTTTTATATAATATTTTGCTTCCATTAATCTTAAAACTAATAGACAAGCTGTGAGAATGGAAAGACACCACTTGACCACACCAGCATCCACAGAGTTTGCTGCCATAATGACAAAAATCCAGATCAAAACTAAAACAGCACTTGAAAAAGCATCCCTGACAATAAAAACACAATATGATAAACATTGCAGGCCCACACACTCATATACCACTGGCAACAAAGTATAGCTCGACACCACAAATCTTCACCTCCCATGCCCAAAATGTAAACTAGCAGATAAATACACTGGCCTATTTCTAGTCATCTCCAAGATTGGAGCCAGCACTTATAAACTCAGACTACCATCAATCTGGAAAATCCATAATATTTTCAATAAAACATTGTTAACTCCATATATTGCATCAGCCTTCCCTAATCAGGAATGACCCCCACCACCATCTGCAGAATTGATCAATGACAAAGAATACTATAAAGTCAACTAAGTGTTACATCATAAACTATGCAAAGTTAAAGCAAAAGAGGGTGGAATGACTACAACAGTTGATTACCTGATCAGTTGGAAAGGCTATAGTCTGGAATCCAATCAGTGGATAAATAAAAAACATATGAATGCCAACAAGGCCATACAGGACTATGAATTATCTCTTAATTAAGCTATCAGAATGATAGTCTTAAGGAAGAGATAATATTACAATTTTTCCACTATTTTCCTCATTTAACCTCTATTTATACTTAGTCAGAGCACTAAACACAGGCACTTAAGATCATGAGACAGGGCTTAGTCATCACAAATGACTGAGTCCATCATTGTCTTTTGATGCAACAGCATTGCCTGATGATACACAGTCACTCTTTTATATACAGTAACAATGCTCAAGGACAATGAGCACAAGGAGCCCAGCAATGCACAATTAGTAGTAGTATATTTAGCACTGGATTTGTACAGTATTTAAGAGGCTCACTCCTGCTGGTAAAAACCCCAGCTTCAAGCTAAAGTTTATTCTATCTCATCCTACTCTTGTGCTAGTTACACAAAGCCTTGAAGCACTGGGAGTCAGCATTAGTACATATAGTGAACTCTGACAGAAGGCTCACATGTGAAGCCATGTTAGTTTATCATATGCTAGTTGATCACATGCAGCTTGAGCCTAACAGCAGTGCTGCATGCTTGCTGCTCTTCATCCCAGATCTGGACAGTGAGAGCATTATGCACTCATTTATACTTAGTAGATTCTCCAATCTGATGTTGTTCTTATTGGATGGCTTCATCATAATTGAATGGGATATTGAGATTTCAGATTGGGAATAGATAGTAGATGATCTCATCATGACTAGTGATCTCTCTTCTTTGGTCTTTATTCTGCTCTGATAGAGAGTGTGCTATCCCTTCACTGATTTCAGAGGACAGAGTTGCAATGAGACTTGTGGTGGGGGTTCTATTACTGGTGAAAGAGGTATGTTGGGGTCTCAGAGCCATCTGAGAGGTATTGAGAGAATCACAAGCATGATCAGCAACCTCATGGGTTCTTGAAGTGGTGGTAGGGTCAGAAGAGAGAGACTAGTGGAAGAAGTCCTTCAGGAGGTTTTCATCTTCATGATTCAGAATGAGGGGCAGGACTTAGGGATTCCTGAATCCTGCAAGATGAGTGTTGCTGTTTCTGCTGTCTGGTCTTAGTCAAAGGGAGTCTCAGTGTTCTTCTTCTTGAATGTCCTCTTGATGCATGCTGCTAGGCCTGGCTTTAGGTAAGAGACTTGTCAGAGGCTGGTGAGATATTTGTTGAAAGTCTGGGATGTCATAGAGGAGAAGATCAGAGGTTACATTGTATAAGATTTGTCAGATGTGTTGGAATTCTTGATAATATCAGATAGCCCAGGTGGTAACTGAGTGACATCTCTGGCACAGCTGGATAATCACTAGTAGACCTAAAAGTGTTCTGATGATAGAAGCAAGGAGTTTAAAGAACTCTCAGTCAAAGTTTGGATCAGTGATGTTAATAGAGAGCATTCAGTTTTCTCCACACTATAGTGCATGAGAAAAGGAAAAAGGAAGCTTCAAGCTAATTGTTAGACTCAAGCATCATGTGAACAGAATTATGTGATAAACTGAAGTCATCTCACACTTTGGATGATTGATAGAGTTCACTGATATATATTCTAAATAGTGTGTCATAAGGCCTTTGATTGGCTTGAGTATAGAATGATATAAGAATAAACTTTAGCTCAAAGCTAGAGTTTTATCAGCAAGAGTGAGCCTTCTTAAATACTATACAAGACTGAACTAATTATACTGCTGCCTATTGTGCATTGCTATATCTATTGTGCTCATTGTCTTTGAGCATTACAACAGTATATAAAAGACTGATTGTCATTGGGCAATGCTGGCATCAAAGGACAATGACTGACTTGGCCTAATTGTGATGACTAAGCCTTATCCTATAGTCCTAAGTGCTTGCTCAAGTGCTCTGACTAAATGTAAATAGAGGTTAATCATAAAAAAGAAATAGAAGGATAGAAAAATCATAACACAAACTGGATGCTGATAAATTCTTAAGAATGTCATATTTTGAAAAGTATTAAATATTGTACAAGTCTTCTGGAGTAATGTTGTGACAGGCAATAAAAGGCTTCTGTTCTTTCACTATTTTGTCTTGATAAAAAATCCATGAATACAAGTTTCAAAGAACTATTATAACTGTACTGATGCTGATGTTTGCATGGAAGTTCATTCTAATATCAGAGAAGATGATGATGGATCCATTGGCATCACCACCACTGTCAAAGACATCAGGTGTCATTTAAAAGTTAAAAGTAGAAATAGAGCTCACCCTTCAGTAAAAGAAAACCTGATTACATTATAGAAGATCAAATGAAGTGACTCATGTACCTAAATACCAATGCCACCCATAATCAGTGAAGGCAAGTTGAAGACTAAGAAGAATTCTGATGTCTTCTCTGCACTCTCCTCCATCAAACAGGTTCACTTGGATGTCATCAATGATAGAGAATAGTGCACAGCAAGCCTTATTAGTAGCAGTGTGAATACCATCAGCACATACCACTTGCTTGGTGAGGGCAGCTAGATAAAGACCATTAGAGTCATTGCAAGCAAAGAAGGCTAAGCAATACTGTCAGACTGGCATACAAGGGTAAGAGAGAAGAGAACAGCAAGAAGGTGTGTAAATGCCATGTAGTGTTGACTACTGCAGTGAAAGCTCATATTGTCTAGCATTTATATGCCTCTCTCATTCTAAAAACAGGACATGAAGACAAAACTGTGGGATGGGCCCATTCAATAACATGTCATATATAACACTTTGCTCACACATAAGGGATAACTTTGGCATGCCAAAACACACCTGCATGGTACTGCCAACCAGAGGATAGAATCAGGGTCAGAATTGAGAGTACAGGTGCATCTTTGTGAGATATTTTCATACACTATTATGCCTCATGTTGATGTACAGAGTCTGAGTGAGAAGCACTGTAGATACTCCACAGTGGGTATTACACTGAATCAGAGGTATTGTACAATGGATAGAAAAGATGATTCAGTTTCTGCCAGAGTTGAATCAGTGTCACTGAAGCATCTGGATACCAGGATAATGAGAGGGAAAGTGAGGTATACTGAGCAAGTCAATGTCCAGTTTTGGGTTCCTGAGTTTCAATGAAAAGAGCTTGTTGCTATGGTACACCAAACAAATTCTTTTTCATGTTGTTCTCTGTTCCATTGTATCATGTTTCTTTCATTTTGTGCCATATAGCTCTGGAATTCAAGCATGTTATTATATGTATAAAGAATTTATGTCCCTTTTCAGCCTGTGAAAATATGCATATTATCAACTTTGTTCTCTTTCAGGTATTATGGTAGCCCTTTAGCTTGATACATCCAAGTCTTCAGTTATTCTGGGTGAAGTAGTTGCCTGCACTTGAAAATGTGGATACTCCCACAGTCTATATTAAGCAAGTCATAGCCTATGAGTGTACATAAGCCAAATTTAAACTAAATATTTGTCACAAATCTGCATATGAAACTCATATTGATGTTGAGTTTGTAAAGTTTGTACAAATGCACTACAAGCCATGATGTCTTGCTGATCAGAATAGGCCATTCCACATATAATGCATTCCCAGGCATGTTATATAAATGAACAGCTCAGCATCTCTGGCTTGCACAATAAAAACTCAGTCAACAGTGAATCTGAAAGCTGTTGGGTTCTACAAACATAGTATAAAATCTGTCAGAGAGTAAATCCTCAGGTCTCACACTTGTTTTTGTCACAATAAATCTGGACACATCCATGCCAAGAACTCAGGAGGGTTGAATACCTGTGCTAGGATTTGAAGATGTCAACAATGATTCCATGAGGAAGCCTGAAGCCTGAACCTGGAAGCTTGAGATCACCATTGCTATTAGACTAGAGTGCCAGGATAAATGCAGTGAGCTCTAAGACAGTTTCATCAAGGAAAAGGATGAAGATGACATCAACAATGATGGCCATGGTGTTTCTTGCTGAAGCAATTCCGAGTTTTTGAATTCATTACACTTATGTTGAACTGGATAGATACGTGTATGTCCATTTTTCCACAGAGTCAGTACACAGATGATCAGTAGTTATTGTACTTGTATAAAAACAACGATTTCAATTATTGGATGGGACTCGGAATCAAGCGCATTGGCATCTAAGTACCTTTAGACATCTCATCCCGCACCATGGGAATCATAATCCCAGCATGCGTCGCTTGATGTTGATGCCTGCCTTAGGGAGAGCAAACTTGAAGGACTCGATCAGTTCAAACAGAATGACTTGCAGCTCCATAACGCTGGGACAATATGACATAAGCATGAGACATGCATAGGAAGGGAAGGAAGACCGACGCAAAAAACGCCAGCCAATACAAAAGCGGACTCCAGCGCCTAGTGGTAGTATTGGGATAAATGTTTTTAAAGATCATAATGCTGAAAGTCAGACTAGAAATATCAAGAAATGAGACTTGTTTTCTAGACGAACAGAAACAGACTTACAAGTTAGTGTATACTCCAACTGGTGTCTGCTTATCCAGTTCACCCAAGAATCGATCTGGATTCCAAACGTCGGCATCAGAGCCCCATACCGTTGGATTACTGAAAGTGTCTGTAAGCGACTGTAGACTCGGATCAGAAAGTAAGCTTTTACCACTGACCGATTGTAGTAACCAATTCCAATCTCGACTAGTTGGCCCTTCTCCACGGGTATTTCGGTGACCTTGACTCCGGTAGAAGTGGTGACTGGATCGGAAAGTGGGATGACATTATCGCAAGCTAGGACACGAAGCAGGGCGGGAGCGATACGATGGAATCGAAGAGTTTCCTACCAACCCCAATCTATGAGTGAGTGTATTATTCAGAGGATGAGAAGGAAGAGGGATACACACCTTGATTACAGCGTTCATAAACGGCATACTATCGTAATCCTCTGAGGTGAGTTTACCTGTAGATCCATGCCGGCTGCGGACTTGCAATATTTCTGCGCTGATACGATTTTGTTGCTCGGGGTGATTGCACAATTCAAACAGACTCCAGGTGAGGGTAGATGCCGTAGTCTCGTGTCCTGCCAACGTAAGCGAACTATCACCACGAAGAATCAGTATGATTGCTTCAGAATGGAATAAGGTAGACTGACGCTATCTGGGCAAGGACCTCATTAGCTCAATCGTGTTCTGCCCACGCTAAGAAAGTTAGTTCGGATGAGTACACTGGGCCAATAACAGTGACTCACCTAAGATGCTGAGAACGTCCTTGCCGGAAGATGAGTCGAAATCTTTCCCCTCCACATTCTCTTTGAAGAATTCTCGTCCAAGCGTTTTGGCAGCGACATTGAAACTTGAGACATGCGTCTTTTTCTGGGAAAGAATGAGATCCATGAGCTGGAGGAGAGGCTTTGGCATGATTATAGGCAATGCCAAAAACAGTATTCCAGCGCGGGAAGGAAGTACTCCCGCAGCATGGCTAAAAGGAAATAAGCAAAAAAGACCGTCAAAGAGATTGATGTTACGAACAATTAATTGTTCAGTATGTTGGCCAGTTTATTATTTTCGTCATCAAGTGCGCAGTACTTGTATCCAAAGGCAGCTTTTAATGTCAGTACTTGGTAACAGTATCTCTCAGAACGGACTCACTTTCGCCAATAATGTCCAAAGTCAGCTTGTCAAGCCATAGCTTCATATCAATATTCCGTTGTCCGTCTTCAGCCATGTCGGTGAGTTTTCGAGAGAACTAAGCAACTCTTGTTAGATGACCATCACAAAGAAAGGTCTGTCAGGCAGATGAACCTTCTTCGCTGATCATCGAAGAGGGGGAGAGAAGTCCGAAGTTGTGCTGCAGAGAAAGCAGGATTTATAACTTTCCTGTGTCGTTGGTGGATGGATCCTAGCAACATTGAGTAACACACATCGACGAATTGAGATGTAATTGCACCAGCTACAGTGATGATTCCCCTCCCAAATAGCATATTCATGTTATATTCTGAATCGGGGACTTTGGGATAACGGTATCCAGAGCCATGAAGGATGTGCTGTAGACCTTTCGGGTCGCCAAGGACCAATAAGTATTTACCTAAACCCTTGGATTGTCTCTCACTATCCATCAAATCCTCGGCGAGTGATTCGTCGCATGACGTGTACGCAATGATCCACCGGGCCAAGGGGAATTTCTTTCTGTGGCATCGCAATTTGCAACGGAACTTACTCTGCTGATATATAGGAGGTAAAATTTCTAGTCCTTGTAGGTTTCACAATCAGACGTCGTTCAAATCTCACGTACTGTAAACAATTGGTTACTTGAGCCAATAAAAATCCTTCCATAAAACACATCTACGTAACGTCTTGAAAAACAGAAGGTATACTCGAATCGGAATTTATTCCGAGAAGACGGTCGGTCCAGGGACCTGCAGGCTCGCGACTGAGCTCTGAAATACGAGATCAAGTGAACTTTAAATACTCACCGTATAAGCCGTGGGCGTAGGGTAATAAATGTCTGGGGATAGGTTAGTCGGTTGTTTGAACAGCGTTAAATTGAGAACTTGAACTCACTAACGGTCAGTCCGGGATCTGCAACAAGTGCACATTAATAGTTGATCCCACTCGACAAGACTGACTCACCATCAGCGTCTACGTATCCAGGGATCTCAACCATGTCGGGGCTAGCTGATCCTCCGTCTGTAATAGAAATTTGTGCACAAGAGATGTACCATTGAGGAGCTCCCGTTACATGAAGACCAATCTATTTAAAACTTAGCTCTTCAGCGATACTGGCCTGGAGTTGAAGACTAACCTGTTCAATACGGGCGAGGTACTAGGGTCCGCAAGTTAAAAGTATGCACCGAGCACACGAGAAGAGAAACACTCACTTCGCCAGCAGGAACACTGGAAGGAATGGTAGCGTTCAGAGCGCTGGCGCCGTAGTCAATGAAGGAGAAGGAAGGTTCGAATACTGCTCCCCATTCAGCGATCTACGCTTCAGTTAGGTTAATTAGGTATAGGCGGAAGAGAATAAAACATAATAACCTTGAACCAGTTGGCACCGCTTCCGTCCCAGTCAGCAGCAGTCGAAGGAGCCTTGCCAAGGTAAAGCGCAGCAGGGCCTAGATGGTAGATAGTGTTGTCGAGTTGAAATCCAACAATGTCACCAGCAGCAACGGAGACCGTCGCAGTGGCATTGGCTGGGCTGACGTTGCATCTTATATCGTCTATCAGTGGGTTAGTGGAGATATTACCGACGAGAGGTATGCAGACCAGAAGTCACGTCCAGGACGGGAGAGTTACTCGGAGGCTGGCGAACCGCCGTTTTGGAAACTGTGTCGCCAGCGACAAGAGTAGTCCAGATATCTGTCTCAGCGCATCAAAAGCGTGAAGAGTAGAAACAGAAGAGGATCAACGCACAATGCGCAGAAACCACTTGGAAGCCAGAAAGAAGGGCCAGAGAAGCAAGAGGGAAAGAGACCTTCATTGTTTGGCAGGTTCCAGCGAGGAGATGGGACTGATGCTGGTAGAGGCATTTTGGCGAGCTTTATATGAAGTAGAGATTCCTACCAAGATACGTCGTATAGCAACGGCCAGCCGAAATCCTTTCGTACTATGCGAACTTATTCCGACGCAGCTCAGCAACGCGTAACAGAAGCAGGTGGTTGCGATCGTAGTCTCAGAGTGACCTAATCAATGGCGTACTTTGTTAGCTCCGTTGCTATCAATGGGTAGGAGAAGATAGCTATAGAAATGGCGTCGTTCTGAAATTTGAACGAGGTCTACAGAATATATCCCATAGAAACGAGCACAGGAATGATAGAGGTCGACAAATTTTTCCGTCGGGTGCCGTGTCGCCAGAGCTGAGACAATCACAAAAGGCGAAATTTGTTCGTTTTCACGAGATGTGCCTAGGTCCAAGAAATGAAGCTCGTGGAGCATTGATGGGAGAGGTACCAGATGATACGGAGCGGTTCATGTCCTGTCGTTCTCGCATGCCAACCATAGCCATAATGGCCTTTTCAGACTTTTCTTGACAATGAGCGAGGTCTATGTTGTTTCATAGGTAATTGTTGTTTTTGGGTCGTCGACCGATTCGCGCGGTGTCCCCAAGAATTAATGTGCACATGAGAACTTCTTCCCCTCTAGTATAGTTCAACCGTCGTCTTCGGAGTCGGAAAGGTAATGCTAATGCTCAAGAGGTTATCCCGAGAAAGAATCTCTTCGGACGAAAATTCACCGTCCGTCCTTGACAACACACACGGAAAAATTGCGCATCTGGAGGGCACGATCTCGCCAAAGTTCACTTGCTCCACCCTCCATCAGACATCTTTCGTAATTTTCCTGGTGGACACTTCTTACTTAGACCAAGATTATAGTCACGAGAGTTATCCCGGCTTAAATCTACAGGAGATCAAGATTGCAAAACCAGTCCGGCGATGGATAGATGTCAGAAGATGCCCGGAGAATACATCAGAAAAAAGGCTGTTGCTATGTAGCACCCTGCCAGTGCTACATAGTGTTATCCGAGGTACTGACCACAGATAGCATGTTGCCAGTGCTATGTAGCATCAGTAATGGTTCATAGCTTCGCCCTTCGAGTACATACCAGTGTATAGTATTCAATTCTTCAAGTATAGATTGCATAATTCCACAGTGTGGGAAGGTGGAAGAGAGTTCAGTTCAAGATACATTTGTCACATAAAAGTACAAAATCAATGTTTCAGAGATAAGAATTTAGGAAGAAGGTATGGCATGAGTCCAGGATATTGTCACTGGTGAACCATGGATTAATAATGCATCCAGAACATTGAGAAAGATGACAGCTATGAGAAATATACATGATTGGAATTTTAGATGCATTTGGGTGACCACCTCAGATAGTAGAATATTGGACTTTGAACATTCCAGTGAGCTCATCCACCTTGCAGAGGGGTGTGAACCACTCAACATAAGCAAGGGGGTGATGAAATTCCCCTAGCTCCAGAGAGAGATCAAAGATGACCTGAATTCAAGCAACATGGAGGCCTGCAAAAAGGTCAAATCTGTTGGTAACAGCACCATGAATACTTCAAGCATGTACTACCTTTGGGTCCAAGCATATCCAGACTAATGCTACCATTCTTAGGCAAGTCCTTCCTTGCTAAGACCATATCAAAATATCCTGATGTTGCCTTCTTGTGACCATGGGCTGATTCTGGAAGAGTTGTGCAGACAGAATCATTGGTAGTGAGTTGTGAGACTTCAGATACAGGAGGAATAGAGATACTAAATTGTTTATATACTGAGTATGCTGCTGGTTCTTCATCCCAATAATCTATACTGAACAGTCCATATTTGCAAAGAAAGGCTTTCATAGCATGGATGAACTTGGAAGCCCCAAACTTTGTCTGTAGATCATCAAGGCTGACATTGGCATAGGATAGAGTTTTTGGGATGAAGCAAGAAGATTCCCTATATTGAAGCCAAGACTGTATCTGCATCATTGTTGTCACCATGATGGTGATGATTTCTAAGAGGTGCAGTCAAGTCAATATGACCATCAGTGTCTATATCATCTTTCTCCTCTGATACATCATCTCCTGTCTCTGGCTCTATGTATTCATCAATGGCATACTGTAAAAACCTCTGAAACTTCTCAACAGCCTTATGCCTCTGCATTCATACTGTCATCTGTTTGACATACCCTTTTTTGTTCAAAGCATTGTATGCAATCTTTGCATAATTAATGTGGAGATGTTCTGAAGCTTCTGTGTTGTAGCCACCTGTAGAGCCATGTGAGAGTATCATTGAAGTGTAATGGTGCATGGAGTGAATTTTCAGAACATTGAAATGATCATGTATTCTCTAGTCAACAAAGATCTCCTTGTGCTTGTGAAAGTATGCCATAAATCTTCCAGTTTCTTTGATGACTCAGTTGTATGCTCTTTATAGTGTGCATAGTATATAAAGTTGACAATCACTCTGACACATTTTGTCATCTTCTCATCTGCACATCCAGCTATAACAGCTAGAAATACTTTCTCCATATTCTTGTATTCATTACCTGTCTACTGCAAAATTAACAATATCTCTTTCTTGAAATGTCAAAGACTTGGATGTCATATTATAGCTTGGAAGTGATGATCCATTTCAGCTTTTTGCAGTCCATATATTTGATGCTCAGGTCTATCAACATTCACTGTAGCTGTTGCCCACTTGATGACATGATCCTTGAAGACCTCTTTGTGTGGTTGGCAGAGGATATTGAGAGTGAAGCACTGGAATATATTACAAGAAGGTAAGTCAACCCAAAATGGATTGACTGGCTATAGACTCCAGTTCATAAATTCTTGTGGTTCAAACTCAGCTGATGCCTGCTTCAGAATCTTGACTGTTTCCTTTGGATCATGCATAAGTGAGCACACAGAATCTCCAAGTTCATGTTAGGAATATGCTAATAGAATGAAGTTGATTGCACTTGCAGAGACCAGTAGAGTGCATGGGTCTTGGTGAAGCTATTAGCAATGTCACTCTTGAGTCAGAGTCCAAAGGATCAAAGTAATGAAATGGAATCTATCAGAGGGAGGAGGGTTGGATAGCAGGTAAGATATCCTAACAGAGCAGAATCCATCAGACTTAGAGAAGAGCTTGGAGTGAGAATGAGATTATTGGGCTGAACCAAGTTGATATTTGAACTGAGTGTCTATAGTGATTGTATATGGCTTATATACTAGCAGTAACTAATCCCAAGTCAGAGTCTGATGGACTCTGATGCTAACTAATCACTACTAGTTTCAGGGTGTAGAATTTAAGATGCACTGAGAATAATGGTGACATGCCTGCTGCATGTTCAGGCATGTAATTTTGTGAATTATGACAATAAATTGACTGTATCACAGTCAACTATGTGTGCAATAAAGAATATGGCTAGAGTGCAGTAAAATGGGACTTGTATGACAGCTGGCTTAAGTGATGATGGGTAGGAGGCATGATCTAGCAGTAGGATGATACCAGAGGGGATCATACTGTGCATGAGGTTTCAGCACTTGACACTAATTGCACTAATACAAGCACAGAAAGACTCACTGAAAATAAAGAGCACATGATCAAATTATGATCAAGACTTTGCATATGACTTCATGTCCTATTGATCAATGATGTATTGGTATTAATTTGCTGAGGGACATGTTCTAGAATAGAGCATTGGTGCACAATGAGATAAACTCAAATAGCAGAATCATTGGCTGAGAAATGAGAAGATTTCATGAAAGTAATAACCAGAAATGATCCCAGGAGTCTAGAATGACTCCTGTGCATGGATTAATTGCTCTGGAGAGATAAGAAAGTGAAAGACCTGTGGCTAAGCCACTAACAGAGATAACTGGTGTCAGATTGCATAGAAACAGAAGGCAGTTCTGACTCAGAACAGAATATGCATGTTAGACAGCAACATGCATATAATGATATGCCAGGAACTTCAGAATGGAGTCCTGCACTTTGAAACTACTATATTTGATGTGTCTTAGTAAGTACAGTAGTAGACTATTTAAGTACTACATTGTAAGAGTAGTAGACAAGTTTCTGATCCTCCACATGTTAAGCTGCCTAAGCAACATGTGACCAAAACACATGATAAATAGGTGCTGTATTGAGTTTGTACAGTCATGTCTAAGTTCACTAGATGTGTTTATGTGGTGCTATATTCTAAGGCCATTGCAAGTTGGCTTGAGATAGAATGGTAGAAGAATAAAATTTAGCTCAAAGCTAGAGATATACAGTGAGAGCTACACTACTTATATACTGTTTGAGTCCAAGTTAAATATATCCCTACTAATTGTGAATTTCTATGTTATAGTGCTCTTTATTCTTGAGCATCTTAACTACCTACAAAAGAGTGTTGTTCATCATCAAGGGTTGTTGTTATATTAGAGGACAATGATGGACTCAGTCTATTATAGTGACTAAGTCTGTCCCATGGTCCTAAGCACTGGTCTAAGCACTCTGACTAAACATAAATAGGGGTTAATCAAGAAAGAAAAAGGAAAAATCATAATATTACCCTCTTCTTAAGACCATCATTGTGATAGCTTAATTTAGAAATAATTCATAGTCATAGATGGCATTGTCAGCATTTATATGATGTTCATTGACCCATTGGTTGGCTTCTGGGCTATAGCCCTTTCAACTGATCAGATAATCAATAGTAGTTGTTGATCTCTCACCACAGACATGGATTTTGCAAAGACAATGATTGAGGACTTGATCATGTTTGTAATGTTCTTTGTCATCAATCAGTTTAGGTTCAGATGATGGAGGTTGTTTTTGATTTGGAAATGCTGGTGCAATGTATGGGGTGAGCAGAGTTTCATTGAATACATTATGAATTTTCCATGTGATAAGTAAGCAGAATTTATACACAGAGCCACCAACTTTGGCTAGGATTAGAAATAGCCCAGTATATTTGTTGGCAAGTTTCTACTTTGGACAAGGAAGATGAAGGTTGGTTGTATCAAGCCACATCTTATTATT